GCAGAGTGGCAAACAACCAAAGAGGAGCTTTGAACTTTCTTCAAAGTAGACAGAAAAAGGCCTATGCAAATGAAATTAGAAAACTTCTTGGCAATTCATCTGGTTTCACCAGGCAGACGAAGGGATTTTACATTAAGCTTCCTCTTTCTAGAAAATGAAAGTATCATCTGGATTCAGAAAAGCATGTTGTTTAATTAGCACTTTTTTTCCCTCACTGTGCGATAAAGTAACAATTAGGTTCCCACAGCATTCAACATAAGCAGCTTCCTCTTGTGGAAAAAAGATGTGGGTGGTATGGGAAAAACAAACTGAGAAGTATTTCCAGGTTTCAGACTGAGGTTTTATCCTGGCAAAAAAGACAGACACGTGGGTCATGCATTGGTGTCCTCACTGTTCTTGTTTATGCAAAATATGTACCAGGCGCAAACGGTGGAGGGAATAAAGAGAAGGGAAGAAAAAAAATGTTCTTCAAGTCAGAAGTTGTGGCTTCAAGCAAATAATATATTGAAGGACTAGAAAGTAGGCTATATAAAAAATAAGTGGAGAAGCATAACCACTGGCTTGCTGATTTGAGGGAAGGTACGAGCTGAAGATACAGCTCAAGTGATTGGCGTGAATGAATTCTGTAAGAAACATGTTTGATAGGAGACTTAAACAGGGAAAAAGCCATGGGAATCACAGCAAATAGCTCATCTCAGTGATGGGGCTTAGTGTCCAAAAGCCCATTAATTTGGTTGCTTCATAATGGAAATGTAAAAATTGTGCTGGTAGGAAGGTAAGCAAGGAGGACAGAGGCAAAAGTTCAGCAGTATCATTTCTATCCTTTCCCAGTGTTGCTGTGGAACTGAATGGTTAACTCTCCCATTTTGATAAGCAGCAGCTCCCAACTGTACTGTTTAATTTCAACTCGGATCGTTTGATACTGCAACATATCTTCTTCCCAAATAAAATTATCACCAGAGCTGAAAGAGGAAATCACCAATAAAGCAGTGTTAAATGTCAGCAGCAGCAACTGAAGGTGCTGTGCACTACAAGGAAGGTTCAAATCAGCATCTTTATTACATGAGACACTTCCAGAAAAATCACAAGAACTGCCAGTAGGAATTGTGCTTTTGCATTTACCTGGCTTATGCATATAGATGCAGTGTAGATCACAGGGTATTTATGTATGAAACATTCACCAAGTGGACCATTATTTCTTGCCTTCATGCTTGCTCACACACAGAGGGGAGATTCACATCTGATCTTGGTCATAAAGTCTCCTCCCTCAGCAATATAACCAACAGCTCAGGTCCAACTCTGGAGACATGCTGTTGTGAAAGAAGGCTGGGGAAGAACTGTTTACAAGGGCACATAATCATAGGACAAGGGGTGATGGTTTCCAGCTACAAAAGGGTAGATTGAGGTCAGACATTAGGAATATGAGGGTGCTGGATCACTGGAACAGGTTGCCTAGAGAGGTGGTGGAGGCCCCATCACTGGAGACATTCAAGGTCAGGCTTGAATGGGGCACTGAGCAACCTGGTCTAGTTGGAGATGTCCCTGCTTATTGTACAGGGTTGGACTAGACGACCTTTAGAGGTTCCTTCCAACCAAATACATTCTATGATTCTCTCGTCTGTCACATTGCTGCTTCACTGACCATCAAAGCTGAACAATAAATGCTGATGAAGTTAGGAAATAGAAAGAGCCTCAGCTGTGGCAGCTGGATGCCATTTCAGAGATGGAACTATAGCCCTGAAGATTACTCCAGTGTCCCCACACTGCATGACACTTGGAACAAACTGTTCCCATTTGATTACCAGTGTTCACTCCCTTGCAACCGCAGTCAGATTTGCCCAACTGTCTTATCCTTGGCACTGAAGACAGAAAGTCTTTCACTTTCACTGAGTGAAAACTATCCTGGAAATCAAACCACACCCACATTTCAGATGTAAGGTCCCTAAATTGGCACCCAAAATCAGTGCTACTGTTGATTTCATTTCATTTCATGCCTGAATTCCCTTCTGCAAAACAGAGGTAATAATGCTCCAAGGTACTGGGCTGTAATGACAGCAAATTAATTTTGATGAAGTACATAAACAGCAGAAGACAATATTTCTGCCCTCAGCACAGAGCTCAAATACTGTGTGATAAATTGTATTCCCCATCTCTTAAAGAGACAGAGGTGCCAGGATGCGATCTTGTTAAGGAAGACTAACACTATGCATAAACTCCTCAAAATGCCATCAGGAAAACGTCCTTCTGGCATTTCCTAACTTTACAGCCTTTTTTAATGTGCATTTAATGAAATTCAATAATGACCGCACCATATGGCCTTTTTGAGAGCTCATCAGTATCATGAGTGAAGTGGGATCATTTAAATCCACTGCACTATCTAGACAGTGGAACAGAAAGTAGATAATAATGACCTACAATATGGCTACCTGACAGCACTGAAGGGGAAGGGTGGCAGCAAGCATCTCAGAAGACAGATAAGACTGCACAACTTTGACCTCCAAGTTAGGGACTGAAGGGACAATGGCTCTAGTGAGTCCAGACACTTCCATACAAATTAGACCTCTTCTACTACCTTACCAGACCTAACTCCTCCCTTTTCTCATCTAGTTTGGAGGAAGAGTGCCTTGGGGCAACTTAACCTCTTGACTAGACTCTTCTGGAAAGAGGCCTCAGAGGCCTCTTGTTAGATACACTTCTGTACACCCTGTGCATTGAAGTGGTGATACAAGCACCCAGCCAGCACTGCACTAAGCACATGGGACTTTCCACAGAAAGTATTGTGAAACCAGTATTGAGAGACTTCAAGGTTCTTTGTGGCACTAAAATACATTTTGGCACAGAAAAGGAATTCACATTACATGATCAAAACACGAGACTTCACAAGAACTTCACAATAACTGAGCATTAATCTGTGCGATTACAGTGGGGAAAAAAAAGCTGTTGCTCTAAGAATTCAGGCCCTTTGCTCCCAACTATATGTCACTTTTTTATTCAATATTCTTTTTCCTTTTGTTTTGTAAGGAAAGCTATGTTTCTTTCAGAGCTTTGGCTGAGAGAAAGATCTCAACCCTCACCAGTGAATGGCAAATACACATCTTTGTAACAAGGCTCTTCTTTAAGCAAATACTTGAAGATGTCCCTGAAGAAGCTGAGCATTCCCAGCACACTAACATGTTAAAGTTAGAGACGTTCAGTCCAAATGTTGAATACCAATTTTAAAAATAAATGTAAAACAATCCAGTTCTTTATGTGAGGACAAAGTTCAAATGCTAACCCTGGCCAAGAGCCCCCAGGGCTTTCAACTGGGCATTTTGTACCAAACAAAGAACTTGCAGATGATGACAAACAGAAACTGCCCATCAGGCAGATACATGACAGAACACTTAATTTAGGTCAGTTATGTGGGGAAAAAGAAACTTAACTTATTATTTAGAGCAGCTGTCAGGTTTTGGGTTTTTTTGTTTGCTTGGGGTTGTTATTGGGTTTTTTTGTTTTTTTTTTATAGAGAGATTGCCCAAGGATTTAAAAATAAACAAAATGGGAACTCCACTTCGGCGAATGAGAGCAATGCATCACAAAAGTAAGCATGTTGCAATGTAGACTCACTATGAGGAATGCAAAATGATGGCTGAGAGGAGAGTTCCTGTTACAGGGAAAGATGCTTGTCAAAGACTTCAGGGAAGAAGTGAAAGAGGAGAGCGCAAGCTGAGACTTCACAAGATGTTTATAAACAACAGAAGCTAAGCCAAGGGGGGAAGTTCCTCCTTTTCCTACAAAGAGAAGTCCTACACATGCCAGAACATTCTCAAATCTAATTTTCTGAATTGTCTGAACTGACTACTTCAAAAGCCAAGAAATTAAGGTTCTTAGCACAAGAGTACAGATAAGTTCAAGGGCTCAAACACCACTTAACAGAAGATCCTGCTTGTTATGCTAGATAAAAGCAGCGAAGACTTCAGTCAGCTTCTGACTACCTTGAGAGCCCAAGGTTCATTAATTGAGGCCTAAATGTATCCATGTGCTGTGCTCTGTGTATAAGAATACACAAAATTGATCTGGAGAAAAGGAGAGAGAAAACAAAGAGTGGGATACTATTGATGATGGAGCACAGATTTCCAACAGGTCAGTCCACGCAGCCCAAGCAGCACACACAAGAGAGAGCATGTCTGCTCTGCTGTCAGGCCATACTGACTCAGCAGACTGTCTATGATCCAGGCTGAAGAAACCACCACCTGGATGTTACTTTATACAACTGTAGCCAGTGCCTCAATCTTTTTAAGGCTGTTTATCCAATAGCTTTCCAAGGAGCTTATCTCATACATGAGAGTGCATGTGGATGTTTACTCCAGACCTACTGGGCATAAGCAGGTGTATGCTGAGGGTAGTTAGATGCATTAGCATCCAGATATGTGGTTAAACTGCAACAAGAAGTCAATGCTTAAAAATCACAAGCCAGCTGACTAAGGACTTCCATTTTCTGATAAAGCCACAGTGAACAGTGTATGCCAGGAACTATTGTTTCTACTCAAGATTTTAATTCAGGTTTCAAGGACCTCTTTACAAAGCACACCAAGAGACACGCTGCATAAATACTGCTCAGATTCCCTGGAGAGATGCTGCAGGTTTTGAAGGGGTGAGTGCCACTTTTATTAACACCAGTCAAGCACATTTACACATCTCCTGACAATACAGCAACTGTGCAGCCTTCCATTCAGATGGGGGCTGTGTTCTCCCCTCTATCTTCCCTTATAAATCCTCTATCGCCTTATGTCTGCTGAGCAAACCCTGATCCTTTGGAAGTCACTGTGCAATCTCTGCCCAGCCCACGCAAGGTGAGAGGAGCTGCAACCTCAGTTGAGGCCAGGGAGCACAGCTCAGGGAGGAGGAGGAAGTTCTGGCACCAGTTCTGCACAGACATCTGGAGTGCCTACCTGCATGATGTCTTGGAGGCTTTCAGTGAAGGACAGCTCAGCCTCCACCATATAAAACTCTGCCAGGTGCCGGCGACTCTGCGAGTTCTCGGCTCGAAATGTTGGGCCGAAGGTGAACACGTGGGTAAAAGCCCTGCAAGGCAACAAGAAACAGGGAGGTCAGGACTAGCATGCAAGTGAGTGTGTTATATTGGAAGCCCCACCCACAAACTCACTTTCTCCCAGGATCTGGGAGTACCCATGTTTCCATTCCCTCTTCAACCAGTTTAATGGCTCTATTGGATATGCTGCTATCTACACAGCTTCAGCAGGGCATAAAGAAGGGTTATTCACACCTCACCAAGACTCAGTGAGATTGTACAAACCCTATTCAGCTTTCAGTGAACACCATTCATGCTCAGGACGCTTTTTGTAGCTGTGTAGGAATTTAAATGACATTCTGCAGAACATTACTGGAGAAGCACCCAGATGAAATATGTACCTGTCAGGTTCCCCTTGTTCACATCCCTTCACATTTGTTTGGCTCTAAGGTCTGACCTTTGTGGGTGCTGTGACACCCCAGAGCCCAGCAGAGCAGAAAGGGTCCTGGCTGCAGGAGTTGCTGGGCTGGTGATGGCACTAAAAAGGGACTAGTGAAGCCCAGAGGGATGGATGTACTGAGCACAGCTTGCAGTCCCCCTCTAGTGGCAAGACCAAAGTTTATTGCTGAAAGAGCCTTTGAATGAACTGGGTTCCTCCCACACAGTTGAAAATGTTAAAAGAGATCCCTACTGCAGAGATCACATCTGCGATATCATTTTATACTGAAGAAACGAATACATTTCCTATGAAGCTACTCTTCCATTAACCTTCTGGGCAGTCTGAATACATCCTCTCCTGTTCTGCAGGCACATCATGCCGTGTTACAGAGGATACAAAAGCTTGATTCTCCACTTCCTTCATCAGAAACCTTCCCATTAAACAGCAACATGCTTTCAAAAGCAGTATTTTTTACCCTTTAGGCTATGAACAGTTGGGCTCCTGAACATCCTCAAAGCCAATGAGAGCTTCCCCAGCAGTTGCCATGATGGCTGTTTCCTCCCATGCAGCATGGGAGGCAAACCATGATGAGGAAGAGAGTGAGCTGGTTCAGGAAAACCATGGACTGGGCAGCTGCTGTCAATGGTACATTTTTAACTTGACATTATTTTTAGCTGTAGACAGAATGTAGGGGAAAGAACCTGACCAATAGAGATGAGACACAGTTTAACACTCATGAAAGGATGCGTGCTAATTGCTGGGGTTGGCATTTGACATGCATCTTGCTCTGCAAGCTTCCAGCTTAAAGAGGATGTTCACTGAAGTTTTTGCACAGGCTAATTTTGTTAAACTGAAGCTTAAATAAACAACACTCATAAAGCAGCGTTCTTCCTTTGCCTCTAACAGAGGCATCTGCACTGCAAATAAAGGAACACACACATTCTGTTTCACTCATCTGTTCCCTCATGCCACATGATGGTTAAAGGTTACGATCCAAAGAAACAGCATGTTCTTGTTCCTTGAGTTCCTAGTAGTAAATACACCCGAAGAAAGTTCCAGGTCAAGACTCTGAATATGTAGCCTGCCTGTAGGCTCTTCTCCCCACTGGCTCTGTGTTCCCTGCTCCAATAAATACACTTTCTGTATCTGCTTTGCTCCCATACCTCCAATCTCTCATACTGACCACAGCAGATTTTACAGCAAACACCTCTCCTCCAACATAATTTTCAGGATGCTTCTTTTCCTATGATGCCTTTCTTGCTTGATGCAACGTTAATGTAAACTTCTGCCATCAGCTGAACATACTCCTTCCAACTGCCCTTTGCTACAGCATCTATAAAACCTCAGCAATGTTTAGATAAGTGATGTACCAAGACTATTACTCAATGCACAGGTCAGTATTATCTCATCACTTCCTTGTGCTCCCCCATCTGTAGCCATCTGTTGTCTTGGGTTATAGAGAAACGCATGTTCTTCTTCACAAGGCCTTTTTGGTTTTTATTTTTCTCCCATGCTCCTACACCACCTGGCACAACAAGGTCTTGGATCCAAAGCTTAAGAGCCTCAACTGCTATAGCGATACAAACAACAAATCTGAAACAATGAGTCACTTGGCCAAAATTGCTCAATGTTTAAGGTCAAAAACTTTTACTTGCCAGGCCACAGAGCCTGGTCTGCAGGGGGAAACAGGAGATGCAGGTTTTTGTGCTACCTGTGTCCGTGTTTCAGGCTTTTGCTAAAATATTTCAATCTGGGGCTCTTTAAGAAAGAATTTTCCCTAAAGAAATCTGTTCAGTCACAAGTTCAGATTGTGACTGGGCCAGGACTAGCCACAAGACAAAAACAGTTTGAAAAGTTTGCAATTGCTGAAGTACCCTCACAGGACTAATGGGCTTGATGTGCAGGTCTCTCTAATTTCTCTCTGGCATGAATCTCTTCAAGAAGTAACAGTTAAGTCTGACACCAGCTGGCTAGCAGGAGATCCTGTCCCCCAGAGCAGCAGTCTGACACTTCACTTAGTGTAGATTATTGTGGCAGATGACAGTCTCCAGCAAATCCAGACCACTATGAGCAATTGGAACTGTACATATTTCCTACTCAATAGCAGCACAAGCACAATGACTAAAAACTTTATCTTCCAAGGGGCTCACTGGCTTCAAGATAACTAAAAATAATTTTAAAAAATGTAAGAAGATGTCAGCCATGGTCAAATACTTCATAGTCACAAATTGGTTTTGTGCTGCAAGAATAAAGCTTCTTTGTGCCTCAGTTAGAGCTTTTGGGGAGGACGAGTGCAGAATAACTCCCACAAGAACCACCTTCAGTCTTTTCTCAGCCCTAGGCATCCTGCTGGGACCAATCTTCTCAAACTTGTACACCAAGTACCACCTATGTTTTCACAGTGAAACATCAGCACTGCAACTTAAAATTGTAGAATCAAAGAATCATAGAATGTCTTGGGTTGGAAGGGACCTCTAAAGGTCGTCTAGTCCAACTCCCCAAGCAGGAACATCTCTGAGGATGTTCTAAAACAGATTGCTCAGAGTCCCATCAAGCCTGAACTTGAATATCTCCAGGGATGAGGCCTCCACCACCTCTCTAGGTGAGCTGTTCCAGTGATCCACCACCCTCATATTAAAGAAATTTTTCCTAATGTCCAACCTCAACCTACCCTTTTCTAGCTTACAACCATTATGCCTTGTCCTGTCCTTACAAGCTCCTGTGAACAGCTCTTCCCCAGCCTTTTTATAGGCCCCTTTCAGGTATTGGAAGGTTGATACAAACTTCAGGTACTGTCCCAAGCTGCTCAACAACAACAGGGATAGGGACTTGGTGACAGCCCATAGAGAATGCAACATCACTGGTGTAGGGCTAAATTTGCCTGCCTGCCCCTTAGAATTAAAAAATAAACAAAAAAAGCAACCCAAAACCCAGACCCAGAATAAACCCACATCTGCAGAGCAGGGAGGAATCATTCATTTCTCAGGCTAATTGTAAAAGGAAAAGATAGATTCAAATAACTGTGAGAACTTCACCACAATCTTGGGACCCTGGCAAAGGGAAACTAGCCAGATGTCGTGCTGGCAAAGTGATCAAAGGAGCACAGTGAATGCAAGTCATCTGGTAACAGCAATGCAGCCTGATCAGAGGCCTGGACAGACCAGAGAAACACAGCTAAAAATACACAGTCACTGTTATCAACTCCAAGCGTGAACAATTATTTTTCATCCAGGCATTCATACACTGTTTACTGTGCTCTGCCATTCAAGACATTAAGCAAATGCACACGATACAAATCTGACCTTTATTGTGCTTCATCTGCTATTTAAAAATATATATTTGGGATTTGATACACTAATGTTTCACACTGAGCATGTATAAATATATTTTAAAAAAAAAGGGATAGGAGCTGACTCTGCTTCCATTTCATGATACCAAGGGCAAAACCAGTCATTTTGTTCTGTGTGCATTCAGCACCTAGCACAATGGAGCCTCAGTCCAGGGCTGTGACTCCTATGCTCTACAACGCAAATAATCAATCATTTAACATTCCCAGACCTCTGCAAGACTTCCAGCATTTAAAAATAACTTGAAAGCTCTAAGTCCCCAAAACTGCCTAGGTCAGTTGGGGTTGTGGGCACCCAAGAGTCTTAAAAAAAATTTTAAAATCAGTAGTGCTAATTCTGCATTTCTGACAAAAGCACAGACACAGGAGGGGGAAGAAAAACAAAGGCAAGCCCAATAATCTGTCAAGTCCTTTTCCTTAGCCATTACAGGCAGAGCAGTAATGTCTGCAAGACTCTCCTTGTACGTGCTACCAAAGAACACAAGAGAGGCTTTGAAATGAGGCCCTTTGCAGTTAGCTTCACCCAGATCAGAGCTCTGGACAGCAATCCCAAGTGCATTTATGCAGTTCACAGGGTCCGTCAGGGTCAACACCAGAAGAAGGCACAGAATTGCTTAATTAACTGCTCCTTTTCTGGGATTGTATTTTGCTCTGCCCAGTTCTCTGGGAAAATTTGAGAGCTCAATATGGAGGCCAAGAGAATAGTCACAGTGCTCTCTCCAACACACTAGAACACTGCACAATGCTGAGCTCTCCTGCCCTAGCTCAGCAAACAGCTCTGCCACCTCCGAGGTCCAGGCTCACAAGAGTTCCTTTGGAAGCAAATAGCAGTGTCTGGATGCATTGCTGGAGCACAGCTGTCCTTCCACATGGACTATGGCTTGGAGGAGGCTCATCCTTGCACAGGCTGTGTTTGTGATCTCCACCCTATTAACATCCAGAAGAAACTTTCCCCTTTTCACCCTTATTTTGCACGCTACTAACACTCTCTTCAGAAGCAGTTCCCTCTCTCTCTCTCTCTTTGAGAGCTTTACACCACACAGAATGAAAGCTCATTTCATTTCACCTCCTTGACAATTCATTATTGAGGCAGTGATAGAAACCAATAGAAAAGTATACATTATCTGTGCTCCAAGCTGCTTAAAACCATCCTTTTAATTAAACTCACATAATGTTTGTAGGCCTGGGCATCTCAACCTTACTGGCAATTTTTACACTGCAATCCAAATACAATTAATTGTGCCAATGGTTCCCAAGCCAGGAATGGA